TATAGATATATACCAAATTTTGGAGAGACACGAAAGAAGTCTAGCTGAGATGGACCTCAAAGTGCCTCTGAGCATGCAAAGAATGTTTTTCCTCTTTCCCCACACCAAGCAGCTCCGGGAAGAAAGGAGCAACATGCAATGTTTTTCAGCCAACATTCACGGCGAGACGGCTTCTAGTCACCTCCCCACTGTGGTTTTTTTCCCTGAAACCCCCCCCAAAAAATCTGGATTTTCTCACCTGAGCAGACCCCGCTGAGCAGGCGCGAAAATATGGCGTATTCGTAAGTGTGGACGATGGTTGAAAAACCCATAAAGATGGCGGAAATGAAAGATAAGAGGTTCGCGATCACTAGGGTACCCTTCCTGAAAGAAAAATAGACACAGAGGAAGTCCTTGGCTTACGATGGTCTGTTTAGTGACCATTCGATGTTACATCCCTGCGGTCCCATGATCAAAATCCAGACGTTTTGGCAATGGACTCATTTTCCCCCAACGATCAGCTGTTCCGATGATCAGCTGTGCCAGGATCCCCTTCGCTGTCTTACTGCTTCCCTGAGGCCCAGGAAGGCAAAAATGGAGCGCGGGGAAGTGCGTCCCCTCCTGGCGCTCCGTTTTTTGCCTTCCTGGGCCCGGGGAAGCTTCCCGGGCGTAAAAACCCCGCCCGCGGGAGGCTTCCATGAGAACGAAGAGGCAAAAAACGGGAGGGGGGGGAGTTGCTGCCACGCCCATCCCATCACATGGCCACTCCCACTTAGCCACACCCACCAAAGGCACACCCAGAGAACCAGTTGTTAAAAAAAATGTGAATCCCACCCCTGGGCGTCCTGTATTACCTGCCACAGGTATCAGCCATGGGGCAAACCATGAGAGCGCCGGTGAGGCCTCCCAGAGAGTAGATCACGCTGGTGAAAGTATACAGGAAACTCAGACCGCTGACTTGCTGCGATTCCTTCTTCTTCATCCTCAGAGTGATGTTGTAGTAGTCTTGGATCACCTGGGTAGAAAAGGACGCCATTCAGCGGCAGGATAGGAGGGTCGACCCCAGGGGGGAGCTCTGGGGGCCCTGGAAAAAAGGGAAATGGTGGGCTACCTGAACCCCCACACGGCCCCACTTACCGCTGCGGGATGGTTGACCACCCAGAGATTGTAACCATACTGGAAAGAGGACCCGAAGGTTAAGATGATAGTCATAGTCATCAGAGGCCTGGTCAGTTCCTACCAGGAGGGGGAGAGAGAGAAGGAGGGGGGGGGTCAGAAGCCCAGTGGTCAAGGCCAGGGGGAGTTGGGGTGGGGTTGGAAGGGGGGGGGTCTTTGCGGGTCAGGGATTCCAAGGGAGGGAGGTTTTGGGGAGGCTTCTGCTAAGACAACGAAGAAAGCGATGGGAGTTGAGCATTTCGTTTTCTTCTTTCTTTCTTTCTTTCTTTCTTTCTTTCTTTCTTTCTTTCTTTC